TGATCGTAGTGGTATAGTATAAAAATGAGATCGTATTCTTCATTTTTATTTCCAACAAGTGTAGGAGACATTGAACCGGGCCAGTCAACCGGTCATGGGCCGGTTTTGAGTAACTCGAAACAGGGCTGGTTAACCGGTTCGAGTCGATCAAGTGAAAAAAAATTAAAAATTAGGTAAAACACCGAAAAAAAAATCCTAAGAGTGTGAAAAAATGTAGATTTCATTTATATTTTGTTATTACCTACAATTATCCTAAGAGTGTAGATTTCATTTATATTTTGTTATTACCTACAATTATCCTGAAACAGAATTAATTAAAATAGAAGAAATGAAGAGAGGTAAGGAAGTAATGGCCCAATGGGACACACTAATGGAGTTTAGATTTGAGAAAAAGCAAGATATGATGAGGTGACTCACGTGTGAAGAATTAATAAAAAAATAGAAACAATGAAATGAGACAAAGATGTAGGGGTGGCCCAATGGGCCCGATATCCGGATGTATTTTATAAGCACCACATGGTTCCAATCGAAGTAGTGTTCTATGTATAATAGATTCTTTTTGCCCTTTTTTCTCTTTCCATGCATAAAATTGCACATACTGCCTAAATGTAAATATTTAGGTACTCAAAAAATTATGTTCTCTTTAAAAGGAAACTTATCAAGCACCACTCAATATTCTTATGGTATGATTCTTTTCATGTAGTTACAAATATGTGTTGATTTTTTATTTTTTATTTACTTTGGGTTGGTCTCTAAGTTGAGTAGGTTTCTAAAGTTTGAGCTCCTAATATTTTTTATTTTTTATTTACTTTGGGTTGGTCTCCTGATATTTTTAAAACTAAAAATGATATTTTTTGGATAAAGTATATGAATTGTTAATTTTTCTTTTTCTTTAGAGAACTGTTATTAATAGGACCCGGTTTTGGTAGATGGTGTAGATCTCCCAGCCCGCATGGTAACAAGTGCGGGCTTGGATGCACCAAGCAATTTTCCTTTCCCAAAACCAATTAACTTTTGAAAGAGGACTAAATTAGAAAGCTAAAAATTTTAATGTATGCAGGTTCTTTAAGGCCTTATGAAAAAAAATAAAGTTTCACCTCAAAGCCTTGTCCGGAAAACGTTTCGGCCATGGTAAATCCCTACGATGGCTCTAAAATGCATTTTCACAACTAGTTATAAATTTTGTAGATGAAAAAACCTTATACATTATATGGATTTGTGAACACTTGAAAATGGATGGTCTAGATAATATGGTAGAATAAAACTAATTTTAGGGCTTGAAATCTCCATTTTTCACAACAATAATGGTCAAGGTCAAGATGATTGCCTTAAAGGTTTTCCGATACCGGAACCGCAATTGTTGATGAGTTTTTAAAGGAGATTTTACTTTTTTCGATATGGCTTGGGCCTTATTTTTACGTTTTCCAATTTAAATTCATGATTAATTTGCTTCCAATGAACTTTTGAAATTAAATATGTAACATTAGAACTTCAACTAAAGAAAATGGATGAGATATTAAATAGTTTTGTCTCTTGATTTGGTAAATTTCTGAAAACATGGTACTGAACACAAGAGGAAGGGAAAAAAAAAATAGAATCAAACTATTATATATAAAACACTTGGTCCGGGACCACTTATCCATTGAATACGGTTCTACCACATATTCATGGAATATGGTTCTACCACGAGATAGTGAAAGTAGGTCCTGATACCCCTTTTTTTTTTCTTTTATGTATATATCCAAACACATAATGTGATTATCAAGTAACTTATACTTTATTTTGTTATTATTATAATTTTGAAAGGTTTGGGGATTATAATTCGAAGCAATGATGTAAGAACTGGACTGCCCGATTCGAACAAAAAATCGATGAATTAGACGCACTTCCAATCTGGTCCGTCTAATGAAAAAGAAAAGGCTTTGAACCAGTAAACCAGTAGCGGACCGGTTTACCGGTCCAAATTGAACCAGATCCCAAAGAGGGGCAGATTTTACTTCTATTTTTTTTGGTTTTTCCATACAGAACAAAGGGCATGAGGACAGGGCTTCATGGTCTTATTAGATTAGGGAAATGCTGGTCCCCCACATGTGCTTTTTAGAAATGTTTTGTAAATAAAAAAACTCTAAAAGCATGTAAAAAATTAAATATTATGCTTCCCAAAATGAGATATCAAAATATTGATATTAAAAAATAAATTACAAAAAAATATGTATAAATTCAAATGTCATGCATCCTAAAAATCAGGACTATGTTAATTTTTAATTTTCAAAATTTAAAAAACAAACAATAAGTACTTCATTAATTTTATTAAAAAAATCTAAAAGTAAGAACTATGTTATTTTTAGGAATAAATTGTTTCTTAATTTTAGATTTTTAACATCCAACAATTAAAAAACCTTAATTACTTATTTTTTAAAATTTAAATTTTGAAATGAAGAATTAATTCAATTTTTCTATAAACATACAAATTTCTTAAATTCAGATTTATAAAAAATTAATAAAAATACAATATTCATTTTAAATTTTCGATATCCTTAAAACATGAAAAACCTTAATTTTTCATAATGAATTTTTTTACTAAAGATAATAAAATATTGATAAAGAGATAATATTTTGTACACCTAGAATAATATTAATTTTTTATTTAATCCTAATATTAATTGTAGGGCTATTAACAATTAATATTATCATCATTATTAAGATCTTGATTACTAATTACTTAGAGTATTTTCACGATTGGTAACGAAAATTATTGATAACAAATGACTTTTCATTGATGATTAGGTATTATCTGCTTTAGTCACACATAAGCAGCAATGCAATGAACGTTGCCATTAAAGGAACTTCAAAGCTATTGAGCATATCAATTTAAAAAAGCATCCATAACAAATCAACAACAACAACAATTATAATAATAATAATAATAATAATAATAATAATAAATAAATAGATAAATAAATAAAATAAAATAAATAAAATAAAATAAAAATACAAAAACCCAAAAAAGACTTGAAAAGTGAAGAATTTAATATAAAAAAGTTTTAAAAAAATTGAAAACTCAAATTTAGAGTGAAATGCATGGAACTTTGGTTTTGCATGTAAATGCCTTACTTTACAAGGGCAAAATACGTACAAACCCACCCATTTAATGAGTCTGATGTTTTTCTTAAGAAAATAACTATAAACTTTACTAATTAGCATTTGGACGGAATTTTTTAAAGGAATTCCTTAATTTAAGAAAAAAACAAGTAACTAAAATTTCAACAACTTAACCTAATGTGAAAGGATACTGTTGAGGCAGAGTAAATAACTCTTTTGCTTTAACATGTAAATACAACGATAACTAAAATAAAATAAATTAAAAGACACACAAAAAAAAAAGGAAAAAAAAAAAAAATGACCTACAAGCGCAAATAAAAAATTATGAGCAAGAAAATATGATTTGTAATAATTTATTAGTGGTCATTCTTCCTTTCTTGCCAATCACGAACGATGTAATATCCCCCAACAATTAAAAAATATAATTTTTTTTTTGAAAATCAAATGTCAATATTTTAAAAATCCAAAAAATTGCAAAAAAAAGTTAGCGTCCCAACAATTGTATTTACCGCAAAAAAAAAATGGTTCAACAATTTTAGATTTTGAAAATTATATTTTTCGATTTTAAAAATTCAAAAAATGTGAAAAAATGTTTCCTGACATTTATATTTATCCAAAAAGAAGGTGTCCCGACAATTTCAGATCTTGAAACAACAATTTTAGATCTTGAAAATCTAAAATTTATTTGAAAATTAAAATTTCAAATTTTTAAAATCCAAAAGTTCTATGTAGTGTCCCAACAATTTCAAAATCAATTTTGGATTTTCAAAATCCAAAAATTACATTTTAGCATCCCTGAACATTTTTAGATTTCAAAAATTCCAAAATTTTCTATTTACACATTACAAAAATATCATTTTCCCGCTAGATAATGAATTTTGTTGAATTCAAATATTGAAAATCCCAAAATCTTATGAGGGAAAAGATTTTAAAAAATGGCCTCCACTAAGATATGAAAATCCACAAATAAAACTGGGATCTTGAAGATCAAGCCAATTTTAGAACCACCAAAAAGAACTTAGTATAAATATAAAAATGATAAATTATGGATAAAATTTACGTAATGTTGAATAAAACAAATATTAACATATTTTTATCTTAATTTTACAATTAATTTGGGCTATACACACGGTTGAGAAAGATAAATCTTATCTAATAATGTGTGTGAGAGAAATGTTATATGAAAGAGAAATCAGATATCTTATATTGTAGTATGTGAGACAGAGATCTTACACATTAGTGTCTTTTTGTTTGAGGTTAAGAGACATTTATCCATTTGAGAGAGATATACACATCTCTATGACATAGGTGTGGTTTGTATAAGATCGAGGCCTTAAACAATCAAAGTAGGATGCATCTTCAAATAGTATAGAAATATGTTGTTTCAGTATAAAAAACCTTTATGATGGTCTAACAATTTATTCATATTTTTAATTATAAAATTTTAAAATAATATAGATTGAACAGATCTATGGACATTTAATTTTTTTTTAAAAATTAACGATCTAGACAATATATTACAAGATGCACTATTTTTAAGATTTGAAAGTTATTTATTTTCTCACATTCATACATACATTATCTCGAGGTCGAGATGACCAAAATGAGGGTTATCCAACTTCAAAACAACATTTCCAAATGAAGTTTTGAGGTACGCTTAATTTGATTGTTTGACACCTTACACTTATATAAAGATTTTTCTAGAGAAATATCCATGTTGTGATTTTTAGATGGACCGCACCCCTTCGAAGCGGTCACCCATTTGAGATGCCACGTATTATATAAATCAACCCAGGCTTTATATAGAAAAGATTCTTGAAAGGGCAAAACAGAAATATTAGAAGTCATGGCCTCTATAAAAACGATATTGAAGAGTCAAGTTCATTCGATACTCTCTCTTGGTGTTCAAGTGGTCTAGCCTCCACTGGAAAGTTGACGGTGTGATTTCCGGCCAACGCTGTGAGATTCCGACCAAGTTTCCGGTGAGTTTTTTTATTCACTTTAGCATTTACTTTAGAAAATATGAAAATTAGTGAAAAAAATTTATTTTTTTGCCCTGTTGGGTTTGAGAAATTAGGGTTTTACGAATTGAGAAATATATTTTTTTTTTTTTTAGTTGCAGTTTAGGTTTTTTTAGGGGCTCTTAGAATCTGTTGAAGCCCCTCAAGATATAACTCGAAAATGTAAAAAAAAAAAACTTTTATTTTCCGGGCTTTTGTTGTTTTTTTATCTATATGGTTTTGATATTGTAACTCTCAAGGGCTTTTACAATTAAAATTTTTAGAAGCTCTTGAAACGTAAATACAGAAATCCAAAATAGGAAGGAAATTTCTGTGGTGCACTTTTTTTTTTTTAATATACGTTTGGATTTTAAATTGCAACTTGCAAGGGATTTTGTATTGTTGTAAAAGCTATTAATAAAAAAAATGAACCGAAAATGCGAAAACCGAAACAGAAATATGACTGGAACTTTTTTTTTTGTTTTTTACTTTTTCAATCTTCGTTTGGAAAAATGCAAAAAACTGGGGAAAAAACACAGAGAATCATCTGTTTTTCTTACTTTGCATTTTTGGATTTTGTAAAACATCAGAGAATGAAAATAATTATTTTGGAAATGAAAAAAAACAGAAACGTGCAAAAAAATAGAAAGAAAGGAAAACCGAAATAAAAGGACAGAAAAAAAGTAAAAAACAGATATGAATTTTCAGTTTTTCCCCAAAATTTCCTTAGTTTACTTTTTTAATTATATTTTAATTTCTTGGACCGGTCTCACTGGTCCAGGTTGGGCAGTTCCCTTGCCAGTTTGGTAGCCTGTCTGGTCTTGACAATATTGATTCAAGGTGCTTTGCCTTATCTCAAACTTCTCAACTCACTGTAAACTGGGGGTTTTATAGAAGTAATCAAACTATTTTGAATTATTTACAGAAAAATTGATATAGCTTGAGGGTTTGCAAAGCATTGAACTCATTAGACTTCCTATAGGGTTTTCCTCTGAAACTTTTAAACCAATTCATAATTTCTCTAAAATTAGGGCCTTGGAGTGATTGAAATTTGTGATTTAGGTTTCTCAAAAAAATATATAAATAGTGATTTACAGGAAAAACCTTCTATTACGTTTGAATTTTTTTGAATTTTCCTTTGAAATTATATAATTTGGTCAAATATTTTAGGTTTTCTTCGAAATAAATGTTTATTTTGAATTTGTGATTTTCTTTCTTGGGTGTTCCTCGTAATTTAGGGTTTTTAGGGTCTGTCTTTGAGTTTAGGGTTTTTTTTCTGCAATTAGGTTTTACATAACATGAAATAGGATTTTACCCCTAAATCATTCGATTATAGATTGAATAGCTTGAAATGAGGTTTTTTAAAGAAAAAATCTTCTATGATCTATGGTATAAATTTTTTTACAAATGCTCAAGGGTTTTACAAGTCTTCGAATTAATTAGGGTTTTCAACTATTATAAAATTGGGGTTTTGAAGAGTTTGAAATAAGGGTTTGCAGGGATATCCATCATTTATCTATAAAGGTTTTAGCCTTTCCTCCAAAATTACAGAATTTAATTAACTGATTTTGACCATTTTATTTTAATTAACCGATTTAATATATTTTAGGTTTCTCTCTGAGTCCGCCTGATGTCGATTATGAGCAGCTCCCTGAGGCGAACCACCTCCATTTCAAAAACCATAGCCCCAGCCCTAACTCATCTGAAAACCCTAATTCAACCTTACTCAGCAACAGCTGTTGCACTAGAAAGCAGCACCAGCACAGCCTACAATGAAGAAGAACCCGGGGCCATCTCAATGAAGGGTGTGAAGATATCAGGCCGTCCTCTCTACTTGGACATGCAAGCCACCTCTCCTGTTGACCCTCGCGTCTTGGACGCCATGCTCCCTTACTTTGTCTCTCACTATGGAAACCCCCACTCGCGGACTCATTTGTATGGATGGGAGTCGGAACAGGCAGTTGAGCGGGCACGTGAGCAAGTGGCCGCCTCGATTAATGCATCCCCGAAGGAAATTGTGTTCACGTCTGGGGCGACGGAGTCGAACAACATATCTGTGAAGGGATTCATGAGATTTCATAAGGAGTCTAAGCGCCATGTTATAACCACACAAACAGAGCATAAGTGTGTTCTTGACTCATGCCGGCACCTCCAGCAGCAAGGCTTTGATGTCACGTATCTCCCTGTAGGGAGCGATGGGCTTGTTAAATTGAGTGATCTCGAGGCAGCAATCAGACCAGACACCGGCTTGGTCTCGATCATGACGGTCAATAATGAGATTGGAGTCGTGCAACCGATGGCTGAGATCGGGCAGATATGTAAGAAACATGGCATCGTGCTTCACACTGATGCTGCTCAAGCCCTCGGTAAAATCCCTGTGGATGTTCAGGAAATAGGGGTTGGGCTCATGTCACTTAGCGCTCACAAAATTTATGGTCCGAAGGGCGTTGGGGCTCTATACATACGACGAAGGCCTCGTGTTCGAGTTGAGCCCCAAATGAGTGGTGGCGGTCAGGAGCGAGGACTCCGCAGTGGGACGGTACCTACACCACTGGCAGTTGGGATGGGAGCGGCCTGTGAGGTTGCGGTTAAGGAAATGGAGTATGACTCTAAACATGTGCAGGTCCTGCAACAAAGATTACTAAATGGCATTCGTTCTCGACTCGATGGTGTGGTTATTAATGGCAGTGAAGAGCACAGGTATTGGGGGAATTTGAATTTGTCGTTTGCTTATGTTGAAGGTGAGAGTTTATTGATGGGGTTGAAGGAGGTGGCAGTGAGCAGTGGGAGTGCATGCACGAGTGCAAGCTTGGAGCCGTCATACGTGTTGAGGGCGTTGGGGGTGGATGAGGACATGGCACATACTTCCATCAGGTTTGGGATGGGAAGGTTCACAACTGAGGAGGAAATTGATAGAGCAGTAGAGCTTACTGTGAATCAGGTCGAGAAGTTGAGGGAGATGAGCCCACTTTATGAGATGGTGAAGGACGGGATCGATATCAAGAGTATACAGTGGGCACAACATTAGGATATCCATAAAGATCATCACTTGGTACTAATTTTTTTTTATGAGGTAGTGGAAGTTTTCTGGCCCCTAGGGCAATGAAGCTTGCTTTTTTGAGCACTAGATGAAGGGGTAGTGGTGGTGCAGTGGTGGTGAACACACAGTTTTGAATCACTTCACATATTTGCAAGATGCTTGCTGGTTAAGAAGAATGGTAACTGGGTCCATTAGCCATCCCAGTAGTAAGTTATTGCTTGAAAAGCTGACAATTGGGTGAATAGACTTTTATTGTTTCTCCCCTTTGTTTCAGGATGTATGGAATTTGACTTCCTATACTATTTGTTAATATTTGTAGTTGAAATCTGTGAGATTTATGTTTTGGTGTTGGTATGATCTTTTAATTTCTGTAAATACAAGCAAGGATAAATTTGAGTTGATGAAACTATGCTATAGTGTTCACTGAATGGGTCATTTAAGTGGAAAGATGCAGTTTCTGTTCTATTGTATGTGGAATGCTTCTTCTTATTTTCTTTCTTCATTTGTTTGGATTCTTGATATATATCTTTGGTATGTATAAGTACGGATTATATGATGGGCAAATGTCTTTCCTCGCTACAGAATTTTACTTGGTGGAGATGTCATAACTTCCATCGGTTGATTCATTAAAGGGTGCTTCTTTTGTAGTTGATTTTTGTGCTATGCATGTTTGGCATTTATGTGACTGAGTATTCCAATTCCTTTTGTCTCATTTTAGTCTCACCATTTCTAGAATGGGAGAAAATATGAATACTTTTTTTGTTCTAGTATCCATTGAATTAAATTTGAGACCATGTCTAATGTTAGTAGATGCCATGAAGTTGCAAAAAGACCAATAAGAAAAAACATATGGGTTTGAAACCTGCAGGTAAACATAAATTTTCTAGGAAGGGCACTTCAAAAATCATGTTGTTTCCCATTAGCCATAACCTGGCTCACTATTTTATGTATGTTGTCAGTCACATCATATACTTAAGTACACATTTCCAGGTGGATCAAGTATGCGTGTTATTCTTGTTTGGAGGTAGTTCTTTTTGTATGAGTTGCCATGTATATAGTCTGGAGTTATTGGCTGTTTCTTCACATGGTAGCATGGTAGGGCTCTTTATGATATACTTCCATGTGGTACTTTAGTGGCGGGACTTTGTAATGCGGTGACTCACTTTTAGCTTGCAAAAGATAGGTTGGACCTCAGAATTCATGTCAGGAAAATCAGGAAGGAGAAAAATGCTGGGAATGGTCGATTTAATATAACTGAGGACATGATTTCATAGAATGACTGAGGGCTGGGATTTTGTCTGTGCTAGGAACGGCCAATTCAATCACCTCCGGACACCAGAAGGTAGCAAATTCCATGGCAATAGTTGTAGAGATAACAAATTTCCCTCGCTCTGGTTAAATTGAATGGTGAATCTTGTGTTCTATCTCTCCGTATGCTGTCCATTACAGAGGTGAGAACTGTTTTCTAATCTAATCTTGTGTTCTATTTCTCTGTAGTTTTCTCTGTAGGCTGTCCATTACAGAGCTGAGAACTGTTTTCTTGTCAGTGGAATTCTGTGCCTCCAAAATTGTTTTTAAATAGCAGAAAAATAAATATCTTTCGCCTTGTCTAGCTGGTGGGTTTCTATGTTTTTGTTATCGAGGGCCTACAAAATTCTCTTTGGACTCGGAAGATTGTTTTTCATCTATGTTGAACAGTTTGTACATGCAATATGTATGAATATTCCAATATAGGATATTAATAGTATAAATTGGCTTCCTCAATTACAAATCAAGGCAAAGTTGTGGCTGGGACTGCATATGGTTATCTAAAGCAAGTCTTTTTTTAGATTATTTTCATGTTTACTTGACCTTGAGAACGTGTTTGAAGTTTTCTATCATGCTTCTCTTGTTGCAATCTTGAAACACTTTCATGCTTCTCTTATTGCAATCTTGGCAGTTGTGTCCTTTATTCATTATCGTAGCTCTTCAAAGTTGTGATTGTTGCTTTAAATTTTTTAGCCTATAACATCTAGTGTCGAGTATATTTTTCCTTCTTTCACCTTGGTGCTCTCTGAATTTGCAATTAAGTTTCAGACCTACACTGCCATCTTGAAACACTTGGTTTCATTACGTTAGCTTTTAGATTCCAAATATTGCATTATTCAGTACTCAGTATCCCGTAGTCATTCTTGATGATGGATTTCATATTGTCCACAATTAGGCATCTTGTTCCGTAAAGTTGAGGGACTTTCTGCCCACAACATTGATTTTCTAGAACTTGGCTTGCTAGCATCAACTTCCATAGGATTTAGAAATTGGTATTAGTCCGGGCAGGAAAAGCTTCCCTTATTTCTTTTTGAGAGAAATCATGTCTCATATGTAGATCATCTCTCATGTTCACCTTGAGGCTATCAGTGTTTAATGCATTGGAACCTCTCAACATGCTGCCCCCACCCTCCCGTACTCCCCCCCTCCATTGTCACCAAGGCGTGGCACTTTTCCTGCCTCCCAAAATCCAATTCTTCACCTGGCTAGTCATCCATGAGAGGGCCCTGACCTTAGACCACATTCAGTGCAGGGGCCATCCCCTGCCCAACAGATATATAATGTGTCTCAAGGCCCAAAAATCTAATAGCCACTTATTTATGCACTGCGAGGTCGCCATTGCCCTTTGGTTGGACCTTCTCCTCCTTTTCAATTGGATTTGGGTCACTCCCCAAACGGTCCTCCATCTCTTCTCTTTTTGCCTTAGAACTCCTTGGAAAAAGTCTGGATACCTCCTTTGGAGAGCTTCCATCTCAGCAACTCTTTGGACAATTTGGATCGATCGGAATAGTAGGACGTTCAAGGGGGAACTAGCCTCCGTCCCAGCCCTTATTGAAAAAGGTAGGGCATGAGTTACTTTATGGGTCCTCAACCATCACAGTTTCTCCATCTTCTCCTTTTCAAACTTGCATCACCACTGGCAAACCCTGCTGCAACTTAGACCTCATAGAATTTCTCGCGCTTCCTTATGTAGACCGCCAGATCACGGGTTATTAAGTTAAATTTCGACAGTTGCTCTCTTGGAAACCCAGGCCCTTCAGGCATCGGAGATCTGTATAGGGACTCAGATTGGCACTCTCCTCTCTTTCGCCTTACCAATCGGTGTCGTCGATTTCACAGTAGCAGAGGCTAAGGCTGTACTGGAGGGTCTTAGAAGATTCCAGCCCCAATGGAACACCAGAGTGACGGTAGAAGGGGACTCCAGCAACACTATCGCCTGGGCTTCTTTCTTTGTTCCCTGCCCGTGGAGACTAGACAAAATCTTTCAAGAAATTGCCCACCTGTGTGGTAGTATCCAAGTCTCCTGGAGACACACTTATCCCAAAGCTAATGTTGAGGCAGATGCCTTGGCCAGGGAGGGAGCTAGTCTCAACTCTCCCCATAGCGCTCATCCCCTCCCTTTTTGGTTGCGTTGTAGTGTCCCCTGTTTTTCTTAGGTCGTTATACTGGGCACCCTGTCTTGGGGAATGCCCATCTTTGTATCTTTCTCTGTTGTATCTCTTTACTGTATCAATATAAAGTCAACATTCTCAAAAAAAACATGCTTCCTAATTTGCAATCTCGAAAAACATTCCAGCAAGGACATAAATTTGCTCTGTAGCTTGCTATGGTATAAATAGTAAGTGTTTTAATAGCATTTAAAATTTGGTTGGTCTCTACCAGATAATGCATGCTAGAAATGGTTGCATGTATCATGTGGTCATTCAACTTATTGAAAGTGGGGGTTACCACAAGAACAATTCAGGTTTGATGGTTTGGTAAAAATTGCGGCATAAAAACTTAGTTTGGGGGCTTGGGAGATGCCATACATTAGGTTTTGCTTCTTCTCTTGTACTCATCTTAGAAGTTGCCACTTGTTGATTTCGTTAGATAAATCTTGTTGTGGTGATACACATAATAGCCTTTGGGCTGCTCATAGTCAAAAAATTCCAGCATGCCTGTCCGTCATGATATAGGTTTGGAATCCATAGCTTTGTGCTTAGTGGGCTAAAAGTTTTACTCTATAAGATATCCGTCCATGTGCAGGTTGTTTCAGTCAATCATGGTATTCTTAGAACGGAAATCTTCCCGACCATGCGTATCTGTAAACTCTGCTAATGAAAAGCAATGCAGGGTGGTTTAGGCTGCAAATTAAAAGTTTTTTACTTATCATAAGCTGTTGTTTTTGGTTGCTTTACTTTCGTTGCTTTAGATAGTCCTTGGCCGGTATTCCCAATTGCTGCAATGGTGGCCCCTTAACCATACTTGCATATGTAAGCTGATTGAGGCTGTTAAACTGGATGCTCTTCGAGTCGATATGCCATATGGATCTTTTGCTCGTGCGTGTCCTTCTAGTAATCTTTTACGATGCTGCAGTTCCTTTCACCCTCTAGTTTAACCATTGTGTATTTTTGGCCTTCGGCAGTCTCGACACTCTGGTCTAGAAATTGAAGGCTAGAGCTTGATTTCAACTTCCATTAGCTACTTGTAGAGACAAAGCAACATGTAAGAAATCATGCTCTATTCTCAATCTTGATCTGAAATAATGTAACAGGCAATGGATATATGGAGCTATCTTTGATGTTTGGGGCACTGATTGGGTTGTTGGACTTGGAGTTTGTTTGATTCTTCATCTAGGGATGATTGGCAAGGTGACTGTTCTGAATGTTATATATACATGCTTTATGTTTTTGTGGAGGAATTTGTCCAAAAATTCTTAAAGAATGAATTTTCAGTGTTCAAGTGTTCAGATAATAATATGACACTGCAGACTGTATATTATCGGTCTAATTTGTTGAAGGATGGATTTAATGGATTGCCTCTGTCCCATTTTGTTTTTGGTGATTGTTCATTGAACGGTGGTGGAGTAGTTGAAAGTTTGATTTAGCAACAAACATGTTCTACCAATCCGGTGCCTTATTTTCTGTCAACTTTGTTGATTATGGAGTTATTACACATTTGCTTGATTTCTAGTTCCCAATTCTCTGGTAGTTGATATGCATTGTATGCATATTATGATTTTTTTTTTTTTTGGTGAATTGGTCACTGATATCTCTCTAGTCTTGTCTAGCTTGATGGTGTTTGAACCAGTGATTTAAAAGACGCCGGGATCGTACGGAGTCATCCGGGGAGAATCGGACACCCCATTTTGGTTCTGCACATATATATAAGAAAACGGCTGAATGTAGAAGGGAACCGGTAGTTCTGCATAGTAAAATAGCGATTCTCTACAGTAAAACGGCAATCCGGACCACCAATTCAAGGATTCGGGTTGGTTTTTGTCCGGTTCACTGTTTTTTCACGTGTTTTTTGCCGGTTCATTGTTTTTTCCGCACAGCAAAACAGTGATCCGGACTCGCGATTTACTAATCCGGACCGGTTTTTGGGGTTCCTGATATGGGTCACCGATCAGTTTTTTAACTTACTTGTTTGAATTGAATCATTGGCAAGTATTTA